AAGGTGATGCAGAATAACCTGCCCTGGCCACCCATCAGCCTTCTTCAGCTTCATTCTGCCCCTTGCCGTGATGCAGTATCCCATTTCAGGCACTAAGCTCTAGAGCGCTATCCTGCGAGGCTCAGCTTTCCAGGGTCCTTCAAGAACCCATGGTGCACGAGCAGCAGCCGCTGCAGAGACAGAAATGGCTGGCACCAGGAGTTGGCAGCCGTGTTGGTAGCATCTCAGAGGGTTTGTTCATTTGGACTCACTTCAGCTGGGCCACAAGGCCTAAAAGTCCATCCGGACCTGGAATTCATACAGGTGTGATGCTCATTTAGTTTCATCCTCAAAACCCAGTTCATGTGCTTAAAGACACCTCTGTGATATGAATAGCACAGTGAGTGGCAGCAGGCAGGAGCCTGGTGTCGAAAGTGCATTCCCAACAAAATGAAAACACTAATGTAGAATCACTTCTACCTCCTTAGAGAGACACACACACATGCACGCACCTTTGGAGATCCTAAGCTACATCCCTGCCTTGCTTTTCCCTTTTGAGAGCCTCAAGTCCTACCTTAGGCATCTAAGACAGGTACTTCTATTTAGGGAGCCTGAGTGAGTGTCTCCCATGTTTCCCATCATGCAGCACTGGTCAGAGGTGTGAACCCAAAGTATGAACTCAAAATTGACTAAAGTTGAACATTTAAAAATCAGCTTAAACTTTTTTCCAGACACTACATGTTTTCAGAGACCAGACCCTGTGAGGAAGCGGATCTTTCTTTTTGGCACAGGGAATACTTGAGGGTACTTAGACAATGATATGTAGCGAAGCTGCTGAATTTCTAAGGGCAGCACCTGTACATTCATAAGAACTTCAGCCTTTTTAATATTTTGTTTTATGTAAGAAACGTATTAAGGCATTGAATAAACCAAATCACGTTTAAAATAATAGGCTGCAGTATTGACAACTATCTACCCATGTGTTTAACTGTCCACTTTGAGGTGTTCTGACAAAGTCTAAGTGCACAAAGTAAATACAAATATTTTTGTGGAATCAAGACCTAATTACGAAATGATTATTTTTCATGATTATTATCTCAAAGCATATTAATGCTGCATATTATTGTTTTACATTCTTATGAATTCTAGTTTGAATCGCCAAAATTTCAAATTACTGGTTTTCAAAAATAACCCACTTAAAACGAGTTTGGCTCCACAAACTTCTTCTTGCACTTAATTAAAAAATAAAATGGCCAACATTTTAAAATATCCTGATTTTGATTTCAAAGGTGCCTTCGTGCTGCTGGAATGTAAAGCTCTTTTGAAAATCTGGAGCTGCATTTTTAAACAGATGTATGAAATGAAAGTTATTCTGGATTTCACCAACGAAATCCAGAATAACATGTATTCAAATCTGTAACATTTTCACAATAAAATTATGGTAACACTATAACCTAGCAAATGGTTAGTTCTGTGAAGGTCAGGTCATCTAAAATTTCCATCATAAAGCAAAGCAAATCAAACAAAACATATTTAGTTATATTTAACAGTACATATTTTTGGTATACTATATAACATCACTACAATAGGCACAGTACTATATTTTTTTTTATTAAACTTAATTAAGAATGTCATGACATAAAGAGAACAAATTACATTTTATGCTACTGGTTGGTTGGTTTGCTTTTTTTTGTTAAAATATTTGCTTTCACTTGCATACAGATTTTTAGCAAAAGCTGATAGCTCATTATAATTTTGTTATTTCATCGTCACTGGGCTGTGTTGACTTACAAAACACTTGGATTCATTATATGTCACATGTGAAATGAGAAGCTGCAACATAAAGCCTGCATTTTGACAATATGTGTATGAAGTTCACTACGTTTTAAATGGGAATCTCCTGTAGTATCTAAATGAAAAAAATAGGTATTTAATATGTTTGTAAATTATATTTTTTTTCCTATTTCAGGATTAGTTATAAGACAGAGTTTAAAATTTTCCCTCTTTGGTTCAAGACTGAATTTCTGACCAACTTGCTCTAAAAGGGCAAGCCTGGACACAGAGTTACCTCTGAATATTCTGTGCGGTCAGTGCACAAACCCCTGCTGCACTTACAAACCAACACTGACCTGCAGTCAAGGCTATGGCATTTTACATTCTCACATCACTTTTATCTTCTTGAAAATAAAAATATCGATTAAGCCCCACCAGTTTAGCTCTTTGAAATATAGGGGTTTAGAAAAACAAACAAACAAAAACATCAATTTACAGGCTGATGTTTGTCTCTTAAATGTCACATATTTAATGCCCAGTTACAAGAGTCTCATTGATGAATACAGCAGTTCTACAAACAGAATACATGACAGAGATCTCTAGGATCTCTAGGTGGAGTCCCAAAAGTTCATGTCATTACTTCAGTAATGGAGCATGTTTTTAATAATTTTTTGTTGGGAGGGGGCTTTCATATCATGGAATCCCTTAATCGACAGCAATTTGCAATGACATACTTTCTGCTGGTTTGGGTAAATGTTATGTTCATCTAAGCAGATTAAACAATGTTTCTTAAACAACTCTCAACTGTGCACATAACATGAACAGTTGAAGGAAAGACATTCAACTGGCAGCTGATTCGTTTTAGATGCAGCTATTAGCAGGAGAGCATTTAGTGAGGTGTTAGCACACGCCAACACTGCGATAGCTGAATGCCACAGCAACACACTAAAAGGACGGAGATGATTTGGGAGCACAGAGGAGGAGAAATGTTATTAACAGATATCGAGCTTCTGTTTTTAGCGTTGTCAGTGCTTTGTCAAGATTTGTTTCCAGTGTATGCTTTCTTGACAAGGACAGTGCCTGAGTTACCACTGTTAAACCCCTTAGACTGTTGAAGCTTTGGATTAAAAATACCTGGGGTTTGTACTCTCGGGAACAAACTTGAGATCCCCTGGACAGCCATGGCAGTTTTATGTGTCGTTCAGAGACCAGGATGTGACCCCCTTATTTAGGGATGATTCATATAAAAAACCACACAATGATGACTATGAAAATGTTGGATTTTGATGACACTTAAAGCATTTAATAGCTGGATTATGACATCATTCCATTGTACTTATCATGAAAAATAAATGTGTAACCTTTGGAGGTGTACTAATAAGAAGTAAGCATGTATTGAAAGTCATTTGGAAGTGATGAGTCCCCAAAAAATACATTTTCAGATTATTTGGAACTAGTATCAAGTGAGATCAGCTATACTACAAGGCAAGGATAGTCTCACACACATAAATCCAAATACTTCTAATGCAAAGCAAAAAAACCCAGAGACATCATTTTCCCCTACAGTTCGTTCATCTTTTGTCCCCGCCTTGCATTTTGAATTGTTCACATTTTGAAAAAGCTTTCGTCTAGCTTCACTTTTGAAATTTTAATTATCTTAATACATAGACAGGCATGTGACAGAATTAGTCTTTTTGCTAAATCAGGCAGATAGTGTCCATAAGCCTTACGTGCTATGTGCTTTTATAACAAGTCTAAGTGGATAAGAAAGAAAAAAATGAAGCTTTGATTTCAATATAATAAACAGAAACCCCACAAAACACTATTTAAAATGTTATGCACACACGGTAGCTGCACTAACTGTTCTTCAGGAAGTTTTTTAGGTTCTCTTATGCTGTCTGGCCAAAAAAATACCTCACCTTTTCTGTTATTTCAGCTAGATTGCACACAGGCTCCCACAATTTTTCCGTCTTCACTGATGTATGTAATAGCAAAAAATTAAATTATTTTGCAAAATGGTATTTAAATAAAGTTATTCATTTTAAATTTACAACTTCCTCAGATTTCATCATTAAATGATACTCTGGAACTAGTCCGTGGTCCAGAGTGATGTTATATTCGTAACATACAAAGACATTATGCATTCTGTCATCTATTCTTTACAGGTTATTTAATTTATTCTTGTCTTTTACTAACAATATAATAATAAAAAAAAAAAAGAAATTTTTAAGAATTCAAAGGATGGATTCATTTTTCAAGCATAATGTAGAATGTCTATTTTGTTGAGAGCCTGAGTGGAACAGAGTTCCTACTTATGATATTAAATCAAGGTTAAACATGGAAACAATGTATTAAGTGGATTGTCTCTGAAACAAATTCAACAGCTAAGTCTTGTGAACAAAGACTATTAGATTTACAGAATTTAATCATTGACAAAAAATGGAAGTAAATAGCAGACATGATATTTTATGCATTTGCGTTTAATTTGTAATTAAAATTAAACTCATATCACATTATTTTTACTTGAAGAAGAGGGACTTACTCATGGAAAGGTGTTTTGGTTTTTTGTGGCTTTTTTTTTTTTTTTTTTTACTGTATCTGTCCAGTATGGCTATATCTTTGTTATTGTTATTGTTAGACTAAAAGAACAAAATAGAAAAAGTAGCATGACTCCATGTATGGACACAAGTATGGATTTACAACAGTGCTTAAAGTGCTTTCTTATTTGAGGAGATACTTACACAAATGCCTTTTCATGCTTATCTCCTTGTCACCATGTACTATATGCTTGTTGCTTGCTCTTATGTCATTTATAATATAACGATAGGGTATTTAGTTCATACTCAGAGTTTAGTATATTGTCATAAAAAACATCTGAAAACAGGAAAATGACAATTCTATTTGTGTATTATTACAGCAATTTGAAAATTTTATTAAATACTGAAGTGCTTCATTTCGTCATTTATTCCTTTGCTTCCAGTGTTGCTTAAAGCACTATGTAAGTACAAATAGATCATACTAAAAGCATATCCATCCTATTCTGGGGGTTCGACTAGGTTTATTTACTGATGTCTTGCAGAACAGAGATGAATTTATGATCCCACGTGACCATTTATCTGCTGATGCTGCAAGATGTCTTGCCTCCAGGATTGGTTTCCACGTACATGGTTCACCAAAGGTCTACATCTTATGAATATTTATACATTGTTATGTCTTGTTGTTAAGTGGCAGTGCTGTAATGCAAGATGTCAAGTAGTATACTTTAATTTGCCAGTACCAGAAGTTGTAGGAGCAGCAGAAGCTGTGGCTTGACTGCCTACATACAAAGGGTCCAAACAAGCCACTTTGGCTGCAAAGAATGAGTGGATACAGTGAAGGACCGCAAACAGGTTGGAAAACTCCAGCTCCTGGAAGTGAAAACAAAAAGATTAGACATGAAAACAAAAGAACACCACACAAACACATACCCAGGAATGAACTGCTATTCAAGTAGCAATAATTTTAATAATTTGATGCAATTCTGCTAATGGGCCTGAAAATTCTCCATCATGGGGACTTAGACATTGAGCTATCCCCATTCAGTAAATAACTGTTTGGAGGCTAAGATGGACAAATTTCTGAGTTAAGTGCCTCCATAGAAATATAAGATCCTACTGGCTAAAGGGGAAGGAAAGTGACACTATATACTATTTTTTTTTGTGTCTCAGATTAATGAAATCTGGCACCTTTGCAGGTTAATTTAGATAGAAATTGAATGACTGCACCATAAGAGTCTACACATCTCTGGACTACTACTGTATACCCAATATGTCCACATATATCAATAACATTGAGGTCCACATGTTACATTTTTTCATCACCTCACACTGATAGCTATTCCCTTACTTAAGCTCATTCTTTAACTAAAAAAAAAAATATAAATACACATTTTCAAAAAGTGCTACTATCACAGTGACATTCTGGATCTGTTTTCATTGAAAAGGTTACTGTTATTTGACTGAACGTTATTAGTAATATTAGACAAAGTCCTTTTTCTACTTTAATTTACGTTTCTTTATAGCTCCTCAGCATGTGATTAGACTAGCTGGGACTCTTCTAGACACCACTACAGAGGAAATAAATGAAAACTACTTTTTTTTTTTTTTTCTTTTTACATATAGAAATTTACTCCGTGTCTAATTGACTTTATCTAATCATTTTTTCTAGGTTATCTTCAGTATGTGTTTTTGGAGTTGGCATTTAATTAATAAATATCTGCTGTATTTGAAAGCAAATACTGAGGTATTTGAATACATATAAGTGTAGGGATGGTGGTACAGAGTTACCATCTTTCGGCTTTGATTCACCACCTCTATAGTTTTCTTCACTGTAATATGAAACCAGTAATAGATATCTGTGGTATATTCTATTTGTCTTTTTGTCCACTACTGGTATTTCCAGGCTGTGTAGCGTCAAGGGTTTTGCTTTTTTCTTTAGAAGAATATTGATAATGTTGTAAATTCAACAAAAATTGCTAAATCTCTCAAAATGACATTAACCTGCAATTTTCTGCCTCTTGAGATTTCCTGGAAGATATTGCTTCACATAATTCATGGAGACATTCACAAATCCCTCTTCTGTGAGGGGGAACAACTGCCTGAAAGAAGACAGCTGTGGTGCAGTGTCCAGTGATGTACTGAATGGGTGGAGCTTTGTTCAGCTCTTTTACAACCTGAGCAGATGTCCTTCAGACGTGCTCAGAAATGAATTTATAACATCCCATGAGCTTCTTTAAACTCCCCTAACGACCAATTCTCAATAAAGAAGGTAAAGTTTATGCCAAGTTTCACAAACCTGCCATCTGTGTCTATTTAAAAAAATCTGTTTAGAGACATTCTCATCTTTAAACATTGTGAGAAGGGCAGTTTTATCACCATGCCAAAGGTCTTTTTCTTCCCTCAAATTTCAAAATAAGAAAATTTATCATAGATAGGAAAACAATGGAAATTCAAAGATGAGGAAACAAGGAATTACGGAAGCTATTTCAGAATAAGAACTATCTGTCATCCAAATTAAGTTACTTTTTAGTTAACTCCTTTTTATTATTATTATTTATCCTTCTGGTACTATAAAAATAAAACTGAAGCTTAAGATGAGAGAATAAATATTTAGTAGAACAATGAAATATTCATAATATCAATTCCGTGTGCTATCTGTAGAAAGATTACATTTGTCCCTATGTCTCAACAGGATAAGACTATTAAAACAAATATTACAGTTTGAGAATTGTTCGAGTCAATTAGGTAACCCTACCAGCTGAAAGTTCTTACTATTATAATTACAGCTACTGGACACTGAATTTTCACAGTGCGTTAGTACAATTACTAATAACAGTTTTCACAGGTGCTTCTGCAACGGTAACACATTGGAAAGATCCATTGCTCAATGGACCTTCAAGGAAAATGGGTGGGGCAACAGAAGACAGCCTCTGAAGGTTCCATTGGATTACTGTTATTGATAGTAATGATGCAACACAGACATTAGCTTGACTGCAAAGATGAGCACGAAGAAGTCAGCAAATGCTAGATTACTATTTGCCATGAAACATTATTCCTATTTCAATGCTGACATGCATATTTAACTGGAAATTAAAGCAATGTGAAGCACAGCAGGCTGACTGGTATGTGGTGAGTACGTCCAGGCCTGATTAATGGCCGCAGCTCAATTCACAGGAGCCTGATTGATGGGAACAGGATCTATCAAGAACAACACTTTTCTGGCAGATTAGCCTCATAACAAGAAAGCTTAATGAACAGATAAGACTTCATGTAGAGCTGCTGACAGACAAAATATTCCCTCACTTCTGCTGAGAACTTGCACTTTTAGCTGCCCACGGGTCTGCACTACTGCCAGCAGATGGAGGGGAACCTACACACTTTTGTGCACACCTAGCCACCCCTGGCTGTTTTCAGATATACTTTGTCATCAGTCACCCTCTTGTCTGAATACACCTTCATCTAGGCAGGGTATTGTGTATTGCACATCCAGCTTCAGATGAAGTTTCAAATGAACAAACAGGCAAATCCTAAGAAACCTGAAGAAATATGCAGTGATGCAGTGAAGCCATCAAAATTGCTACCAGAAGGGAAAACCAAATGCTCTGAGTCCCACAAAAGCAAAGAAATCCAAATTTAAGCCACATCTACTTGTTCATGCACAAGTACACAGTTTACTATTATCCCAATGTTCTCTGTACACCTCAGCTAACACCCTACTCCCCTAGGAATATCAGTGTACCCTCTGGCCTTCAAAATGTCTAAGCTATCTCTTGATCAAACTACTGTCACCCTGCATTGCTGTCATTATACCATCATCTGAATACACTCAGTTTCTACTGAGGACAATGTAAATAGGTAGGTATGCGAGAAAGATGTAGTGATTGAGAATAGTCAGAAGTGTATGGGAATTCTAGTAACCTTTCACAAAGAAAGCCTGGATTGAACTGACAGAGATGGAAAGAGAAAAGAGAAAGGGAGTACCCCCAGATGAAAAAAACCCAACTCTTGTTGCATTATACTAATGATACAACTACATAAACAATACATCTCCAAAATCAAGCAATTGTGAGTTTGGAAGTATTCATGATATGGTTAGAAAAAAATCTTTTCTTTCATCCACATATAAACTGCTGATATGAGAAGATATTAGTTCTTTCATCAAATGTGGTGTTACATGGTCTGTCTATATTAGCATAGAATCTGATCTAAAATAAACATTAAACATAATCCATGTGAAAGACATGGGGAATCTAAAAATTGAATCACACAAACCTACACAGGTCAGAAATCTGAACTCAGAATGCAGTCACTGCAATTGAGCAATCACTCTAAAAATCCTAAGGATGTATGCTTAAAACCCATTTAAAGATGATATTCTAAATTTGAAGAGCACTGTGAGGCTCACAGAAACACCCTCAAGGCTAAGAACAAGGATTAATTTAAAAATATATTTTGGAGAATATACTTGAAATGAGCAGAATTGTCAGTCTGGAAAATGGTGCAAGCATCCATCAAGACAGCTTGCAACACCTGAAAGTGAACATTTTGTTCACATTACAACAGCAGTAACTGAGGTTATTTGTCTTATTTTAGATTAGGTTTCTATACAAGGTAATTTCAAGTGCAAAATAATTGGCATTAATTAATCAATAAGTATTAATGTTACATCTTTGGAGTTACACTTCTTCCTTTGCTGATACCATATTTCTGCCCACTTCTTATCTCCATATTCAAATAGGCAAAGACAATTGACTGGATCTTCACCTTGATGTGCTGAATTTTGTGTTCACTTCAGTTTTGTAACACTGATCTTAGGGGTTCAGCTAGTTTGTGAACAAAAGCTAACCTGATGCAGAACAGCTGTGTGACCTCGCCTGAGTTTTTCTGGCAAAACTGTTGAGCTGTGAAAAAGCCCTGCAAGTTCAGAAGCATGAAAGCACAGACTGAAGTGTCACTTTTGAGTTATAAATATGTTTTACAAGGCACAGAAACTCTCAGTTCACAGAAATTACTGATTGGTGCGTCTGCTTACAAAATTCAAATGGAAAGTGCATGTAACAAGAAAAACAGTGCCGATGCTGATTTTTATATACATTACATACTTCTAAGTTTGCTAGCATGTACATATATATATCTCAAAACAGGATCTCTCATAGATTTAAGATACTCTTCATTTTTGTCAGAAAAATATAAAGCAGTTTCTATTGCAGTGGACCAATGCTTAGCCAGGTAAAACTGAAGAGCAAAGCACTCTGAGTTTATTACAGTCCTGAGATTTTGTTAGGCTCTGGAAGCTGCTGTGATACTGAAAAGACACTAATGGATCATTAAACTATAGCTATACAAATACATAAATAGATAAGTAACCAGATAGGGAAGTGCCTAAGAGAATCTCTCTGTGCTTTACAGACGAGGAGAAAGCTTTGTCCTTCTGTGCTTGGTTTTATCAACCCAAACACACTGGCTCAGTAGGAACGAAGGAGAGGCACACGTAGGCTCCACATTCTGCCAAGCCGACAGCTCTATTTTGTAGCTCTCAGTCAGAAAAATTCTGTCTGACTGTGCAAACTTGTGCAATATCTCCTGCTGAGTGACAGCTGGGAAATAACCTGCAGATTGGAAAGTCTAAGGTGTATCGGTGATTAATGTTGCCCCTAAGTGGTTTTCTTCTCAGAAACCACTTAGACCTTGCCTTAGAGACCTTCAAAGTTAGGTGTTTGCATCCAGGCACCCTGCCATGGACCTACTAGTGACCTATGGTAATTACTGTTCGGATTTTTCAGACTGGAATTGCTTAAATCTATGAGGAAACACTTCTTTTACACTACACTATATATCTTTATAGTAACACAATATTACTTACAGAGAAGCCAAACAAAAGCATCACAAAATCTCTACAGAAAAAAGGCAATATTTTAACAATATCTGAGAGAATAATGCAAATGTTTAAATATTTTAAGTTTCTTTCAAGCTGAAAAGAAGTATACCTGGTGAAACTGTGACTAAATCTGTAGCACATGTTGTGTGTCTCAAAACATGCCATTATGAATTTTGTTATGTCAGGCATGAAGCATACTGTAAAAAATTTTGACAGCATTATACAAATATTAGGTATTCAATGTCAGTGAAGGTCTTTCTATCACTTAGGAATATAAACTCTGGTGGCAAGTGTGTTTCTCAAGAAAAAAAAAAAAAGCTGACTGATGAATGTGAATGGCTCATGGCTCTGCATTTTTTCTCAAAAAGTATTTTTCCTAGATTCTTCTAACATTAACAGTGATATCTCTGTATATTCCACCAGAATACAGAGGAGATGCTGGGCAATTACGGAGACAGTATGGCAAAAATTTAAAAGGTGCTGCATTTTTTTTTTTTCCAAGAAATGTCCATCTACAAGTCTGAATGTATTTCTAGAATAATAACAAATTTATCAAGATTTTAAATCGAAACTCAACAGCAAAGCACTCTGACACTCTCAATTCTCTACATAATGAGGAAGTGTTCTAAAGCTAAAGGATACTATCACGTATATACAACATGCCACAATCATACACATCTGGGATAGTGTGAGATACACAAAATGTGCAGCATTGCAAATAAAGGAAGACAGGAAACATTTGGATTTTGATAATTCATATTTTGACAGGAAGTAATTATATAGAATCATAGAATCATTTAGGTTGGAAAAGACCTTTAAAATCATTGAGTCCAACCATAAACCTAACACTGCCAAGTCCACCACTAAACCATGTCCTGTCTTTTAAACATTTCCAGGGATGGTGCCTCAACCCCTCCCCGGGCCAGCCTGTTCCAATGCTTGATAACCCCTTTGGTGAAGAACTTTTTCCTAATATCCAATCTAAACCTCCCCTGGCACAACTTGAGGCAATTTCCTATTGTCCTGTCACTTGTTACTTGGGAGAAGAGACCAACCCCCACCTCGCTGCAACCTCCTTTCAGGTAGTTGTAGAGAGCGATAAGGTCCCCACTGAGACTCCTTTTCTCCAGACTAAACAACCCCAGTTCCATCAGCTGCTCCTCTTAAGATTTGTGCTCTAGACCCCTCACCAGCATTGTTGCCTTTCTTTGGACACATTCCAGCACCTCAATGTCTTTCTTGTAGTGAGGGGCTCAAAACCGAACACAGTACTCGAGATGTGGCCTCACCAGTGCTGAGTAGAGGGGGACAATCACTTCCCTAGTCCTGCTGGCCACACGGTTTCTGATAAAAGTCAGGATGCTCTTGGCCTTCTTGGCCACCTAGGCACACTGCCAGCTCATATTCCGCCAGCTGTTGACTAGGATGAAAACAATATTATTTCAAAAAAACCCAAAACAAAACCAACCACCCCCTTACCCCCAGCCCCATGGCCAGGCCCCCTCACATTTACAGGGAGTAACTCTATTATAGTGCATTAAATAGATCAACACATTCCGTCAGTACCATAGCTGAAACTCAGAGATGGAGGAAAGCAGACCTTGGAGACAAGAAAAGCAGGAGTCTCAGATCTGGTATGCATATGCCATAGCAGGTTCTGCACAGAGTGTTTTAATGTTAACGGTGAAGGGGAAAAAAAGCACTCTTAGTTCTAGTGATTGTCTTAAGCTGTATCAAAGTTACCTGCCGTGCCCTGCTTCCACATTACTGCTTGGGGATGCAGAAGTGAAGAGCCCTAATACGTTGAGGCAATGGCTCCTCAGATTTTTCGTTTTGTTCTCAGCTGTAAGCTCTCATTCCACTGTATTCTGATTATTCCCCATGTAATATAACAGACAAAAAATTATCTTTATATAAAGAAAAATGTTACGCTGTATTTCCCCTTACAACAGTGGGTCTCCAGGCCATCTGAAGCACAGAGCTGCATTTAACAGGTGATGATAGCTGTGGCCATGAATATTCATCACAACCTTTAACAGATGTTTTACAAAATTCCCATCATCTGATTTCAACTGAAGCCTGCATACAGTATGCATGAAACTTGGCATTACAAACATTTCTGACAATCTGATTAACATTTCCTAATGACTCAAGAGTTCCCCAAATAGCTATATCTCTAACTCTGTAATGCTAGTAAAGTCCAAAAAATAGAGGCTAGATTGTTCCAGCTCCATGCTGAATAGTGCTTTAAATCTATGAAAAGCTTAAAGGATACTGAAGGGGCCCATCCACAGAATTTTAAACTAACCAAAGTTGAAAAAATATGACCCAAAAATCTTCACATTCATTTTATAGCCACATTTATCTATATTTCTTAGACTAAGCAACATATTTCATATGTAAACAAAATGAAATGGATAGAAGTGATCACTATAAATGCCGTAGCCCTTCCAAAGACAACAAAATCTGACATTTTTTTAAATCATGATATAATTGATATTCTTTGATCACCAAGAAAATGAATTAAAATTAATGATTTTTATTTACAAATTGGTCGATGTGAACGTTTAATTTTATAATGAAGAGAAGTGACCATGACAGCATATTAATAAGCATGCTAGCAAGTTTGTATAATATTCAAGGTAGAAGGTAGAATGTAGAATTTCTATCTTGATAAAAGGTAGAAAGGTGATAATTGCTAGAAATAAAGTTCTATTCAGTTTCCATGGGAATAACAATAGTTACAATCAAGGTACCAGGATATCTCTGAGGCTTATAAAGTGATTTGAATGACAGATTTAATTTAAAACATGAAAACATTTTGATGAAAACTGGTTTTCTTCATTGAAATCTAGATTTCATCCTTTGTATTTATTTTTTTTAGTATAATTTAGTATTAAAAATATACTCTAGTTTTACTGAAAAAAAAAAAAAAAAGATACACTTTCCCATTCTTGGATTCCTATGAAATTTCTTTAGTCTTAAAATTATGTGTTAATATAATGGCAATAGCAGGCAGATATTAGAAAAATAATGGTGAGTTTCATCCTTCAACTGTACATAGGAGCATGATAAAATTTTCTAATTATTTGCTTAAGAGAAAACCATCCTCACAACATTAGGTTGTTAAGTTATGTTTTATTATTAAAGACGAAAAGAAATTCTGTACTATTAAAACAATTTCTGAAGGAAATCAGAAGTAAGAAAATATTTATCTTTGAAACGTAGCAGAACATGAATGTATTGAAAGCCATGGTCTGCACATTTCATAGCTGTTGACTTAATGGGAGCTTTTACATACATACATACACTGTATTGAGTAAAACATTCAAAATCAAGTAAATAGCTGTTAGGTAGAAAATAATTAATACCAAACATAAAGAGATATGCAGGAAGGAAAAATAGCTGCTTGGTGTAGCTATTTGCATTTAAACTCACAACTGCTCCCAATATAATGCTTTTTTTCTTTACATATTTTATTACGCTGTGCATATTTAGCCCTTTTAGACAACAATTTATTTAACCATTTTCTTTTTGCTCAGGGAACCGTATAGTTATCACATTCATTCAGCAATTTTCTCTCTGACATGATCAGCAAAAAGGGTATGGCAAATGCTTCAAAAGCAAGGGTTAAAGATGGCCAAGAAAATAGTCTTTAGGTTTACACAAACATTTGGATTCTAGTCAAAAAGACCTTTGATTCACACTCTAAGGCAGTTCCAGTTATCAAAGGTCCTGAGAAATCACTTCTCCGCACACACATTGGGACAGTAAATGTCTTATTCTCAAAAGACATAAAACAAACCAAACATAAATCTCTCAACGTTATTGTTTTCATAAATCAACTCTTGAATCAAAAACACAACTGAAAAGACAATTTTTCTGATTTTCAATTAGACACAGACACAAAGCTTCAGTCTTGTAAGGGAACATGTGTTTAATCCACACTTTTTTCCCCTGAGAAACAAAAACAGATTTTAGACCTTTGCTGGGTTTTGTCCCCAGGTTGATTTAAGAATGTATTTTGCACCATTTCTTCACAATACGAGTATAGGGTGAAAAACAAGGCATTCAAATGCTCAGCCCGCTTTATCAAAATGATAAAGAGGAGAGTTGGCAAACGTGTCCAAAACCATATATAGTGAGTCCTGTCTTTTATTAATTTTTAGTGTAATTACACCTTTCAAAAGACTTTAAACCAGCAAAAATCCAAGCAATTGATTCAGTTTTCTTTTCTTGGAATTTCTTTCATTTTCATTGCATTCTTTGACTTTGTGTATTAATCTCATAATTCTAAGTAATTTCGTTTAATTTACCCCTCTGTTCCCCTAGCTGCTTTGATAACTGCTTTTAATGCACATTGCCTTTATAAAACAAACAATGTATTGTTTTTACCTTTGCTTCAATTTGTTTAGTATCTTGGTTTTGGAACAAAAATTTGATTTTGCTCTTCCCATCATCTGAAGAACCTTTCAGCTGGGAAAACTTGTACCTCCAAAGTACAGCCTAGAGGAAGAAAAAGAAACATAAAAAGCCATACGCAAGCATGTCAGTGTAGCTATAATAGAAGATTGTATTCGAAATAGCTCAGCTCCTTCCAAGGCATTTTTTAACCCCTCTATGATACATAATTAACTCAATTTAGTGTTATGTGGTCTGATGTCCCTTTGATCGTATGGACGTATTATACTTTGGTAGTGTCTGATTCAGATCAGTCAGACTACATTTATGGAATTTACTCTGAAATTCCTTTATCTATATTTAGTCCTGATTAAACAAAAAAAAGAGGGTTAATAAATTCATGGTCATGCCAAAAAACAAATATTTTTTTCCACTGACGATCCATTGATTCCCTACTCCATCTGAAGTGATAACCTCTCATAGAAGCCCTCTTTTCTTCCTTCCACATTAAAAATTTAGTTGTATTAACATACGGGGCATATAAAATTAAAAACAAATACCTATTTTAAATTATAAAATAAAAAAGGAAACTCTGTAATAAGAACTTATTTTGAGTTTACTTATGAGAGCTGTAATCAGGAATTTGAGTAGATCATTAATTCTAAGCATATCAGTGGCCTTTAAGTAATTATATTATGAATTACATTGTGTCTTATTGAAAAAAAAGACAGATTGCTCGACAGAATAAACACGTAATTAATAAAATTTACAGCTGGCTAGAAAAACATAGCTAATATATCTAATATCTAATGTGGATTTATGTAGAAAAAATACATTTCAAATTACTTTGGTTAAAAGTGGAAAACATCTACTTTTTATTGTAAGTCTTTTCAGCCTCATTCAAAGATATCTCCCCCTTCAGATATTTTGAAGCACTAACATTTTTCATTGTGATTTCAGTAACATTTCACCTAATCATAAGGTCATTCTCACTCACATTGTGCTATTACTTTGAAGAGACATTAATTTCACATGCATCGGACAACACAGAAACTTAAGAAAAGAAGTGTTGTTCCATTTTCTTTTGTTTAAGGGTTTGCAAATGACATCATCTCAGTGGTGTAGGATGATACTTCCATTGGTGCCCTGTGTCTATATCTATGAATGTATCTACTTGAAATTAAACAGAATATTAGGGAGGTCAATTTTTTAACTGTCCTAAATCTATGCAGGTCCCTTTGCTTCAGGATGTGTTGATCTCTTTATGTTAATGACTGGAAAAATCTCCAACCTGCATCAAGATAAATGAAGTAAGCTGTGTTTGTCTTAGTAACTTGAAGAGGAAAAAAAAAAGCCCAAAAGGACAGTATCTTAAGTATGCACAGTACACAAAGCAAGTGCTACAATTATTTTCCCCCGAATTCCCTCTATATATTTGCCACATCCAGATAACAATCCCTGATCTCAGCATCAGTTTCATTCTCTGTGTGTATGTGACAGATAAGCTCCCATCTACCATAAGCAGAGTTAAGGACATTCTGTTTCAGATAAACCAGAGGAATTTGGCAATTTATGTGAACTATATCATATTTGTTTCAAATGTTGTCCTCCTGAGCCCACCAATCTGTGCTACAGAAAATAGAATAGCTTCCCTCATCTCCGTGTGCAATTCCTTTCAGCTTGTTTGATCAATGGTGTTTACTCATGTCCTGTAGATAGTGAGTTAAAAAACCAAACCAAAACAACCCAGTATACCATTCAGGTGGCCATACTTCCTCCCTGCATTGTGAACCGCTTTTTCACAGACCTATGTAAATCAACAAATCTTGTCAGAAGATCAAAACCATTGCTTTTCTGCAGGAACAGCGAATCGATTTAAACATGTCATTTCCTAGATGAGAAATGTAAAGGGCATTGATGGTCTCTTTATCTCAGGAGAACAACAATCAAAGAAACGAGCTATCATCTTTCTCTTCTCTGATGATATATGAAGAGGCCAGGAGAGAGGTGCAGTAGTAACAAGGACCCTTAGATGGGCAGACAAAATCCCAGGGTACCTGGCCTTATTCCCAATCAGATTAAGTTCAAGCGAAGATAAAGGATGTACAGAACTGCAGTACTTGGGCATTTCCCATGCAGTTTTGTGACTCGCTTCACTCCCGCTCAGAAGAAAGAGAACAACAGTCACACCAAACCATGGGCATGATTCAAGAACACACTTTATGAGTAACATCAGTTTTGGAGAGCCCTGCTGAGCAATGGCTCTTACATGGCAAAATCAGGTCTATAGCGTGGAGGGGACAAAATCCTTCTCGAGACTAATCCCAAGAAGACTGCACTTCTTCCATCAGGATATCAAAACAAGTTCCTAGAACTGACAGTTCAGCAGCATACTTTACTGAGACTATTAAATATTCTTTGTCTAAAGTGTAAAGAATAAAAATGCCATTGACAATGCATGAAATGATTCCCAAATGAAAGAATTATATGTTTATTTTGGGTGATCTTCAACAAATTGCACACATTTTTTTTCCCAAAGATGTCCACATACAGGAGAGTTCTTTTTGCAAAAATAAGAGTTGTGAGTTTTAAGTTACTATATCAGGAATACAAAGTATTTCAAACATTCAAGCTAGTCATCCTGGCTACTTTTTTTGTTCTAGAGAATTTCTGAGTAACAGTTCCTTCATCCTAGTTTGAACTGGGATGAATACCAGTTCACTCTGATACACTCTGGATGTGTCCACACCTCAATGTACCACACTACATTAGAAGTGTAACAACTAGCTTAAACTAGATGTACAAATTTTAGATAGCTAAAATTGGGTGGATTAGTTAAGCATATGCCCAGTAATACCCATTTAATTCCTTGTCTCCTACCAAAGAAGCTGAAGTCCTGCCCTGTGTAGGCAGAACTGCATGTTTTGCATGTCTAGCAGATACACAAGATGACCAGCTGTGACCAGCAGCCAGATCAGTCTCTTAACATACAGTATCTTGGGGACCCCTGGGTTAATTCCTCTTGTGGTTTCATGTGTTCTGGGTGCATTACTTGTGGTTTTTTTTTTTTTCCTTTTCATTTTCATTATTGCAAAATGCACAAGCAGTGAACAGGGACCAGACCTATCCTTTTTCAACGACTACCTCACAGTGCCAAAGTAGAAAGGAGAAGCAAGACCTGCTCACCTAAGCACCCCGTTTCACAGAAATATGTAGCTACAGCAGTGACATAAACATATGAGAGACACAGTTTCACATGTTGTTATCTTCCATGTTCCTATGTGCTTACTTCAGTGTCACAGTGCTCCCTGTAGTGACTGTTTTGAATTCTAGTTTTAAAGGCTAGTTCTCCTGCATGAGGAACAGGTACCCTTGGGTGATCTGTATCACTGTCAAAGCCAGGCGAATGTTTTTTTCATGTTTTTGAACAGCACAGTTCCTGAGAACTATTTGTTGAATGCTTGCCTAAGAGAGTTAACATAGGCGGATAGAATTTTGTACAAATGTATACATATTTATGTATAGATTGACTTCTAAGCGATAAGTACATTTGTAAAACACATTGGCTTTTTCATAAATTGTCAAAAACCTAAACATGTGTTATATAAATTATTCCTAAATCAGTTTTCATGAATTATAAAATATAAGCAGAAGTACTTACTGGTTTGAAGGTAAGTGTGTTACTGAGCTCAACACTGTATAATACATTATGATAGGGCTTCTTTAAGTTAATAAAAACAGCCTGTTCTCTTCAATTGTTTTCCTTGTATAATCCTCAGTAACTGTGCGTAACCTGCATCACTGAGAATATTTTACAGGACTATATATAGCATTTTTAGGAAGCAGTAAAATTTTGTTTACCCTAAAATAGACCTGACGGGTGGACCAGCTGGCAATTCCTTTTAAAGAACAGATTGCAACAAAATTAAAAAGCGATTCTGTGGTAGCTCAGCTACTTGTGAGGACCCTGAGACACCTCTCAAGTCGAGGCACACAACCTTATCATGGCTTGATGGAAGACCAAGATGAGAACTCAGTATGTACTACTTATTGCCTTTAAAAAGGACCTCCATGAGTAGAGACAGAACGCGTGAATAAAAGCAAGCGTTCCAATTTAGAAAGTGGGGACCAAGGTAATAGTGTATACTGAAAATGCCATCAGCTTCACAATTTGCGTACATCCATCGTGGCCATGGAAAATCTGACATACTTAATCCATGTTTTGATAAATGCACTGTAAGAAGACAAACTCATTGTACAAATACTGCATGTAACATGCATAACATTGAAAACAACTACTGAGATACAAATCCTTTTCCCAATTATTATTCATAGATCACTTAGGCTGCTTTTTACATTTTATACCATTTAATAAAATTAACTTTAAAGAGTAACAGAATGCAATGCAAACAAGTAAACAGTGCAGACAAGCTGAAAAATTAGTTTTAAGACTTCTCTTGAGATGCTTTTTAATTTTTGTAATAAGAAATCATCAAAAAATGAAATCCTGTCTTCACTGAAATTAATAGGATTTTTTTCCTCTGACATATCTGGGACCAAGATTCTTCACCAATACTTTTTAATAAGAAATATTTTATTTATAATTAATCATCTAGGAATCATTTGTTCTAGTCTTTGTAACCAAATTACTGCCTATTATCTTCTGCTAGTGTTATTTTGCTATAATTACCTAAGGATGCTCTCTGCCTGTGTATTTTTATAAAGGCAATACATAAATGTCATATAGAAGAAAAGCAATTGACTTCAGTATCTGTAATACTTTGCTGATGTTCCCCACAATCATACAAATTAAGAAAATTATATTGCTTCTCTTCTTATCACTAGTGCTAAATCTAGAGCACATAGTTTGCAGGGGACCTTAGAAAATATTTTCACATTCATATCATATATCACTTTGCTACTCATTCCCATTTTTTGAGAATCCTGGACTAAACTACATACAATTTTGATAAGATGTCATCAAACAAAATCACTTCCCATCTAGATAATGGTATCAGAAAACTGGGAATGCATCATAATTATCTTAGTTTAGGGTATGATCTGGAGTGTTGCTTAGAGTTTTTGTTTTGTTTTGGGTCAAGGAG